GTACGCACATTTAATGCAGTTGTCTCCTCCTCCAACGGGCAGACAACCTCAGTATATAAGCTACACACCGAAGAACAGAAAAACAACTTTGCTACAATTCTTGCAAATCATCATTCAAGCTCTCTTGAGATTAAAATTCTACAACCTTCAACAAGACAAGCTTACGTTGGGAAGATTCAAACTCCAAATCTCTCATCCCCAACAAACAAGCAAAGTTCATCCTGTTCTTCAACACTTCAAGAACTTCATCAAACATCCTTTGTAACGAAGCAAGTTGGAGGAAAAACTCTGTTTTTCAAAGGATCTTCTGAAAAGAAGGGCGTCCAAGTAACTGCAGTAGTGAAGTGGTGATACTTCCGGGAAGCTGAGTGAAAGGACCAGCCATCAGGACGTGGAATTGCATCCTGGGTGGCAGCTAGACTTGAAGAAGGCGTGGAGAACTTCTTAAGTGCTAGGAACTAAGCTTTGTAACCGATCTACTTCAAAGCTAGTGGAACAGTGGACTAGAGGAACGAGTTGTTCCTTGAACCACTATAAAATATCCGGTGTCATTTACTTTACTGCAATTTATATTTCGGCACTTAGGATATTAACTGATTAACTCTAAGACTTGGAATCTGTGTTCAGCAGATCTTGTTCTCAGAGTTTTCAGAAAGGCATTTGCCTTAGTATTTCTGAGGCTACCCGGACAGATCAGAATCCGCTGCCAAGGCCAGTTCTGATATCAGAACCAGCCTTTCTCTGTCATCAGAATCAGACCTTCTCTGATAAGTCACTTTTGACTTGGAGAAAATTTGAAAAACCAATCAGTCTATTCACCCCCCCCCCCCTCTAGACTGATTACCATATTTATCGGGACCAACAGTGAAGCTATTGATGTTGATCTCCAGACTCTTTTGATCAGCTGCGCAAAATCTGTTGATGCTTTGGATTACAGTGCAGCTGTAGAAAAGTTAAAGAAGATTAGGCAGAACTCTTCGCCTGTCCGGGACGAAAACCAAAGGGTGGCACATACATTTGCTGACGCTCTTGAGGCACGGCCGGCTGGAAACGGGGCGCAACTTTCTTCATCATATCACAGCACGATCAAAGTCAAATTACTGAAATCCTACTTCTCATCATGTCTTCCATTTCGGATGATATTTATCTTCTTTGCAAATGAAATGATTTATGAAGTAGCTTCAAGGGGCGCGTCACTGCACATCATCGATTTCGGCATTCTTCATGGCATTCAGTGGCCCACTCTTATTCGGAATCTTTCACGAAGACCGGGTGGTCCTCCGAAACTTCGAATCACCGGGATTGAGCTTCCCCAACCCGGTTTTCGTCCATCACAAATGGTAGTGGAGACTTGGTGTCGCTTGGCTAAATATTGTGAGCGTTTCGGCGTACCATTCGAATACAATGCCCTCACAGCAAAGAATTGGGAGGCAATTTAGGTTGATGACTTGAAACTCGTGATAGGTGAGGTGGTTGCTATAAACTGTAACGACTGACTCAAACGACTACTAGACGAGATAGTATGCGGTGTAGACTGCCCCCGGGATGCAGTTTTGAACTTAATCCGAGAAGTAAACCCTCATATTTTTGTGCATGCTATGCTTAGTGCATCTCACAACTCCCCTTTCTTTCTCAATCGGTTCCGCGCGGCTCTCGCATTCTACTCTAACATATTTAATATCTCTGAAACCATTTCGAGCAACATTTTTTGGGGCTGGAAATAGCTAATATTGTAGCATGTGAGGGCGTGGAAAGGTTAGAGAGACCTGATACATACAAGAAGTGGCAATCTCGCACTATGAGGGTTGGGTTCAAGCCTCTCCCTGTGAGCCCCGAAATTCTGAAGAAGTTATGTAAGATGAGTGAAGCATATCACAAAGACTTTATGCTTCACCAAGATGGCCATTGGATACTTCAGGAGTTCAGGGGTGGAAAGGTCAGATTATTTCGACTAGCGCTGCATGGGTAACTCAAAAGCGCTAATTTGTTGATTTTGTCATAGACGGTAAGACCTTCTTTGTGATATTTTATAGTGTTTTACGTATTGAACTTTAAATTTAATTATATAGTACATACTAATATGTAATCTAGCTGCATCAATGATAAGTTGTCTGGGGGAAGTATATATGCTCAAGTGACGAATAATCCAGAAAATGATGGCTGCATCAATGTGGTTCTTCTTGTGTAGATGAACAACATGGTATTGGAATGTTCAATTCTGGGTGCTGAAATTCCTACCTTCGTATTTGTATTAATAGTTTGCTATCTTGAACTGGTTTTACACTAAAAATATGGACATTTTTAAAATTTGGGCTAGGCCAGGGCTGGCCCTCCCCTAGCTACGCCCCTGTATGCATGTCTTTGTGTGTAAATATACATGAAATTATGTCTTTGAAATTGACCAAGGTTTACTTTAAAATATATACTCCATATATCAAAAGATTCACTTCTCATTCTAATCATTATCAAGGACGGATCCAGGAATTATAGTCAATGGATGATTTTTTTTCTTTAACTAAAATTCCGCCTAGTTTTTATTTAGAAAATCCATTAGCATACATATACTCAACATTTAAGAATGCCATACTCTAAATTTACAAGTACACGAAGGGCAACTACACCAACATCAACATGTATAAGAAATTATCGTCCTCCCTCAAATAGGATGTTGGAATCATATGAAAATAACCTAGAATAATAAACATACAATTTATTAGTTAGCAAATAGTCGAGTAGTACAGTAGTACAACTCAAGACATAAAGGCATTTAAATTCCACAATATTTTCAATTGATATACCTCAAAATTCACAAAATGATCAAACGAAATCATAATGCCCAAATGATCAAAACCACAAGGTACTCTCCAAACATAGTGGCTTATTTGGAGGACTCAAACCTCAGTTTTTTTCCCGTTTGGCAAATAGAGTTTAGCAGCGGCGTTTGAGACGAAACCGCCGAAAACAAAAACGTTGCAAATCGGAGCGTTTAAGTTTTGGTGGATTGAAACAATTATTGAATTCCACGGGTTGCCATATTTTGTATAAGAAAGTGGGTTCACATTTAAGCATTAAAACAACTTCTTTAAGTGGTACATTAATAGTTAAGGCTGTGGGGGACTCCCATGTCGGTAGGTAATATTAAACTTCATATTTGTTAGCTTCCTCTCGTCCTGAATTTTATTACTTACAGCATTATTTGTTCACCTGTAATCTTACATCATATCCCTTCCTCTGTCCTCACTCCAAGCAGGTACGCCTACTCATATTTGTATTAGAGTATAACTTAGGCTTTGTTTGCAACCACTTGTTCTTAAATAAAAGTACTTTTTGATAAAAAGTGATTAGTAGTAAAAGTTGGCAGTGTTTGGTAAAATAAGTGTTTTTTGTGTAATAGAAAAAGTAAAAAGTAGATTCTACATAGAAGCCGAGAAAGTAAAAGTTGGTAATGTCTGGTAAAATAAGTGCTTTTTTCTTATATAAAAAAGCCAAAATCACTTTTCTTAAGTTGTTGCAAACAAAGCCTTATAGTGCAATCAGTACTAATTGCTTTAAATTTGCTCAAAAGTTTGCTATTTTTATACTTTGTAGTAATTATTTGGAGTTCATCTTCTATTGGAGCTCTATCTTAGAAAAGCATCACATTTTCCTTGAGCAATTATTATACGCAGTAGTAAATCTAGGAGGGATAAATTGTGTTTTTTTGGGGTTTAATGACTCAAAATTCCCTTTGATAAGCATGCATTAGCCCTATGATTAAAAAATGCACTAAAAAACAATTTAAGTCATTTAAACGGAATCCTGAACTATTCAAATCAAACCAGAATGATTATATTAAGGAAATAAATAAGTTCAAAACATATTTCGCTAAGTTCAGAATCATATTTCGCTAAGTTTGGGATATGCATATTACATGTGCAAGTTTGGAGTACTTATGTCACACCCCTTTAAAATTTGAGATATTTAAATTATTTTCCCCTTATAACTATATCAATTCGTGTATTGATTTGAATAGTTCAGAACATGTAATATATAAAAAGTTATGTGAGCACAATGATCATATATTTTTTTCATAAATGTAATTTTACAGTATTATGTACATAATTTTAAATACACAAAACATTTATGAGGATGCAATTAAAATTGAATTGTACCAGATGTAATATTATTTATTCAACAAATGAAATTTTAGAAGATTAATTGCATTCTAACAAGGCTTAAGGTATTTTAAATTATATAATTCATCATTTCATCATCATTTTCATTTATCCCAGTACCGCAAAGGCTCCCACCTACGGTGGGGTAAGGGAGGGTCGGATGTACGCAATCCTACCGGCTACCCCTGTACTAAAGCACAGAGAGACTGTTTCCGGATGACCCATAGTGAAAATCGCGTCCAAAATTGCATGGACTGACAGCTGCTTCATAACAAAGAAGCGCAGACAGTTTAGTGAGCCATTTTGCTTTATTCCATCATATTCTCAAGCCAAAAAAATAATGAATCTTTGGCTCCATTGCAAATAATGGAAATATTTGAAATTATATAATTATTCCAATAAATTTGTATTTGTAAGAAAACATATAATCATGGTGCGAAAATAACTTCTTATATAAAGTTCGGGATATACATATTACATATGCAGATTTGGGGTACACACCTCACACCCCATTAAAGTTTGGGGTATTAAAATTATTTTCCCCTAGTTAAAAACGCTAAAAAAGTTGCTTATGGTTTGTTTTTTTTAAAAAGGATTTACATATATAATAGAAAAACATAAAACTAGAATTGAAAGCATTCACACCCCATCAGCTATGGAAATTTTAAATACCAATTGCAACAGAACCCGATCAGGTGCATGGTAGGGAGGGACAAAACCGCCACAAGGATTTTATTTTAGTATAGTTGCATAACTGGTTTTAAAAATTCATTTATAACTGAAAAATGTTTAATAGATTAGGCAATGAAAAATGAAACTATAAGCAGTATAAGATGTAAATGATTTATAACTAGTACTAGACAGAATGAACTATGAAGTTCATTATGATTGCTGCAGTAGTTGTTTATCTGTTTGTTACTTTGTTTACCCATCTTTCTTCCATATGTTATAGACCGTTATGGATCGTCAGCTTAGATGCTTGCCCGTCTACTCTATAGAGAGATTCGGGTTGGAGAATGAGAGCGAGGGTGCTCTTTCAATGGACTCTGGTCGCGTTATCGATTACATTAACCAGATGCTACTAGGGGATGACGTTGATGAGAATAGTGATGCCTTATTCTGTGATCCTACTGCACTAACAGCTGCTGAGAATTACTTCAATGAAGCATTGGGTAAGAATTCCTCCTCTGACAGCAATGTCACAAGCCCAAAAGACATCTCAGTTGTGACCTCCAGTTCTGATTTTGAACCTGTCACAAACGATTTTTTATATAGCTTTGGAAGTGCTCATTCGGTTCCAAATATATCTTTTGATGATAAAATTGCGTCCATTTTGGAATCACCGAGATTTGTGGAGGAAGCTAAAAGATTCTTTCCTGCCATTAATCCGATGGTCATCAATTTCGACGATAAATACTCACTGCATTTAGAGACTGAGGATTTGAACAGAGGTAGTAAGCATTACCGTCCACGTGAAAGCGGGCTAGATGAAGAAGAAGAAGAAGAAGAAGAAGAAGAAGAGGATGAAAGGAGAAGGAAGCAGAGTGCAACTTATACAGAGGAGGTAGAACTTTCACAGGTGTTTGATAAGGTTTTGCTGCTTTATGCTGATGATGATAGTGATGGTTCTTCATCTGCAACTAGCAAACAACAGAAAGGGAGAAAAGGTGGCAAAAGGCATTCAAATAAGAAAGGTTGTGAAGCTATTGATGTTGATCTCCAGACTCTTTTGATCAGCTGTGCAAAATCTGTTGATGCTTTGGATTACAGTGCAGCTGTAGAAAAGTTAAAGAAGATTAGGCAGAACTCTTCGCCTGTCAGGGACGAAAACCAAAGGGTGGCACATACATTTGCTGACGCTCTTGAGGCACGGCCGGCTGGAAACGGGGCGCAACTTTCTTCATCATATCACAGCACGATCAAAGTCCTCAAATTACTGAAATCCTACTTCTCATCATGTCTTCCATTTCTGACGATATTTATCTTCTTTGCAAATGAAATGATTTATGAAGTAGCTTCTAGGGGCGCGTCACTGCATATCATCGATTTCGGCATTCTTCATGGTATTCAATGGCCCACTCTTATTCGGAATCTTTCACGAAGACCGGGTGGTCCTCCGAAACTTCGAATCACTGGGATTGAGCTTCCCCAACCCGGTTTTCGTCCATCACAAATGGTAGTGGAGACTGGGTGTCGCTTGGCTAAATATTGCGAGCATTTAGGTGTACCATTCAAATACAATTCCATCACAACAAAGAATTGGGAGGCAATTAAGGTTGATGACTTGAAACTCGCGATGGGTGAGGTTGTTGCAGTAAACTGTAACGATCGACTCAAACGACTACTAGACGAAACAGTATGCGGTGTGGACTGCCCCCAGGATGCGGTTTTGAAGTTAATCCGAGAAGTAAACCCTCATATTTTTGTGCATAGTATGCTTAGTGCATCTCACAACTCCCCTTTCTTTCTCAATCGGTTCCGAGCGGCTCTCACATACTACTCTAATCTCTTTGATCTCTCTAAAGCATTTTTCCCACGTCATGATATTCAAAGGATGCACTTCGAGCAACAATTTATGGGGCTGGAAATAGCAAATATTGTAGCATGCGAGGGCGCGGAAAGGTTAGAGAGACCTGAAACATACAAGCAGTGGCAATCTCGCACTATGAGGGTTGGGTTCAAGCCTGTGCCTGTGAGCCCTGTAATTCTGAAGAAGTTATGTAAGATGAATGAAGCATATCACAAAGACTTTATGCTTCACCAAGATGGTCATTGGATACTTCAGGGGTGGAAAGGTCGGATTATTTCGACTAGTGCTGCATGGGTTACTCACAAGCACTAATTTGATGATTTTGTCATAGACGGTAAGACTGTCTTTGTGATTTTTTATAGTGTTTTACGTATTGAACTTTAAATTTAATTATATAGTACATACTAATATGTAATCTAGCTGCATCAATGATAAGTTGTCTGGGGGAAGTATATATGCTCAAGTGACGAATAATCCTGAAAATGATGGCTGCATCAATGTGGTTCTTCTTGTGTAGATGAACAACATGGTATTGGAATGTTCAATTCTGGGTGCTGAAATTCCTACCTTCGTATTTGTATGAATAGTTTGCTATCTTGAACTGGTTTTACATTTTTGAGCATTGTGCGTGTGACCTGACTTTTATGTACACTTGGGAACTGTGCAATAGTATGAGGTAGCCACTTATTTGAAGAGTTTTTTCATACAAGATTTTACATGTAAACAGTAACTTTATCTATCAGCCACCAGTAGTAAATGAAAACAAAATATGTAGGTTCATGGTTTTGATTTTAAAAAAAAGTAATCTAGCTCCTCTAATAATATTTATTTGAACATGGAGAGTGTTTTTATCATCGGTTATTTAATAAAGTTGTATGAAAAATATGTATGCATGTCTTAACAATCAACACAACATTTAATAATCTTAGAAAAGAACAAATATTGACAATGCATTTGTTCAAACAGAAAAGTAAATGAAGAAAATAAAAAAGGAAAATAGTCACATGGATTATGTATCTACAATCAAGGGCATTGTTAAATCAATCCAAAAATCATGTTCTATAGTTTTTATATGGGAAAGGGAATTAAGTTTTTGCGAGAATATATATGAAAGCGACAAAGAACTTGTATCTCAATCCGGCTAGGCTAGCTATCCCTCGATTTTTCCCTATTTACAATGATAAATAGAGAAACCACAAAAAGGGCAACCACACCAACATCAACATCTATAAGATATTATCGTCCTCCTTCAGATAGGATGTTGGATTCCTGTGAAAACAACCTAGAATAAAAAACAGACAATTTAATTACCCATCAGTTGATTAGTACAACTCAAGATATGAAGGCATCTAAATTCCACAATATTATCAATTGATATAACTCAAAATTGACAAAATGCTAAAATGAAATCAGAATGCCCAAATGATCAACCAAACCACTAGGTGCTTTCCAAGTATAGCGGCTTATGTCAAAGATGATTTAGCACCATTCTTTCTATGTCAACAAAGTTTATAACTTTAACAATATAAGTATGGTAGATTCTATGGTACCCAAAAGGTACCATACCTTTGTCCACTTGGACCAATCAGAATGTTGCAGTTGAATTATTTAAATCTAAATTAAAATGATTTAATGATTTGGACCAATAATGTGAATGGTAGGTACGGTATCCCATTTTTAAATGGGTACCGGAGTTGTCACTAGTGTGATATCATATATGGGAGACTTGCAAAGAGTCAAAATCATCAATGATGCTTGAAGTCTCATGAGGATCCCATTGATAAGTATGCTATAAATTCCTATAATATCAACAAAACTTCATAAATTGCAACATAAACTTAACTCCCACAAATTGGGATCTAGGGGGCCTGACCGAGCTCCAGCGCCAAATTGTAAAAATTTATATGAAAAAATTCTTTATACCAGCTCGTTCTAACCTGTGCACTTGGCTATGCCCCGGTGGCACAAGTGTTGCTCAAAGACTAGTGCGACAAGTATATATGATCCATGTCATTGTGACAACTTAAGTTGAATAAAAAAGAACTCAGCTGCTATAGCTTAACAGTTAGCACCACTCCAAAGCAAGGTGTTCGGAATATTTAGGGAGTGTTTGCAACTGCTTCTGCTTAAAAAAAGCACTTTTAGAGATGTAATGAAAAAGTGATTAGTAGTAAAAGTTGATAGTGTTTGAGAAAAAAGTGATTTTGAAAAGTAAAAGTTGGTAGTGTTTGGTAAAATAAGTGCTTTTTGTGTAATAGAAAACGGAAAAAGCACTTTTCACACGCAAGCTGAGAAAAAGTAAAAATTGGAAGTGTTTGGAAAATAAGTGCTTTTTAAAGCTAAAAGCTGAGAAGTGCTTTTTTTTAAGCTATTGCAAACACTCCCTTAGAAACATTCACCATATATAAGTTATATACAAAGAGAAGGGTGTATAAGAAAGTGGTTTCACATTTAAGCATTAAAAGAACTTCTTTAAGTCGTACAGAATACTGTTGATATTTAGGTTTATATTTAAGGATGTGGGGGCCGGACTCCCATGTCTGTAGGTAACATATATGCACCCAAAGTAGCATCCCAATTCCCAGGCAACAAAGGTACTACTACCAATTATTTGTTTACATGTAATCTCACTTCATATCTCTTCCTCTGTTCTCACTCGAAACAGGTATTGCCTACTCATATTTGTGATCAGAGTATAACTTATAGTGCACTCAGTACTAATTGCTTTAATTTGCTCAAAAGTTTGCTTTTGTTTATACTTCGTAGTAATTATTTGGAGTTCATCTTCTATTGGAGCTCTCTTTTAGAAAAGCATCACATTTTCCTTGAGCAATTATTATACGTAACATTAGGGGAGTTAGGGGAGTGTTTGCGATTGCTTTTACTTCTAAAAAAGTGATTTTGTAAAGTGATTTAGATAAAGTGTTTAATAGTAAAAGTTGGTAATGTTTAAGAAAGAGTGTTTCTCAAAAAGTAAAAGTTGGGAGTGCTTGGTAAAACAAGTGTTTTTATGTAATAGAAAAAGTGAAAAGCAGTTTAAAGCATCACTCTATCTGATTCCAACTTTTAGTTTTTAAGTGCTTAACTTAAGTAGAAGATGTCACTTGAAAACAGTCATTGGCAGGGAGTAAAATCTGAGAAAGGCGTGTGACTTTTAAGCCTAAGTGCATGTTTGGCAGACATAAGTCTCTGCCTTTTAGCTTTTGTACTGTTTAAAAAGTCTCTAAAAGCTTCTAGTTGTATGTTTGGCATGATAATTTTTAAGAGCTTTTCAAAAATTAAAAGATCTTTTTTTAGATGCTACAGGGAGTAAAATCTGAGAAAGGCGTGTGACTTTTAGTCTTAATTCGTCCTAACAATTCGTATACCAAATAGAACTAAATCAAACAGTCAGCTTTTTACTAAACAGTTACCACTTTTTCTTTTTAAGATATTTTCGGTCACTAAAAAGTAAAAACTAACAATTACTAAAAAGCTCACAAAAGTATCTTTTCAGCTAGTTGTGCCAAACATACCCTAAAACTGAAAAAACACTTTTTTAATTTTCTGCAAACACTCCCTAAATCTAGGAAGGTTAAATTGTTTTTTGGGTTTAATGACTCAAAACTCCCTTTGATAAGCATGCATTAGCCCTATGATTAATAATGCACCCAAAAACAAATTAAGACATTTAAACGGAATTTTGAACTATTCAAATCAAACCAGAATGTTTATATTAAGGAAATAGATAAGTTCAAAACATATTTTGCTAAATTCGGAATCATGTTCTAGTATCAGTACACAAATAAATATAGTTAAAAAATGCTAAAAAAAGTTGCTTGTGGCCTGTTTTTTTAAAAGGGATTTACTTATGTGATAGGAAAACATAAAGATAGAATTGAAAACATTCACACCAAAAGGAGAAAACAACCATGCATCTATATATACTTCATCTTAAAGAACTGCTCCCCTAAACATCATTATAAATTTATAATAGTATATTAGGCAGCTGTGGAAAACTTAAATACCAATTGCAGCAGAACCTGCATAGATGGTATTTACTGAATAACAGCTCTACCATCTCTTCTGTGGTTTATATTTATATAACAATCCTTAAAAGAGTCCCAACCCCCAGCTATATATACACCGTAAACACCGGACAACGGGGACCAGCACCCGCTTGCCCCCATTCCGCGGCTGCTGGAAACTGTTAACGGGCTGACAGGGAGGGACTAAAACCGCCACAAATGCGGTGGAATGACCACTCAAGGATTTTATTTTAGTATAGGTGCAAAACTGGTTTTAAAAAATCATTTATAACTGAATAATATTCAATAGATGAAGTAATGAAAAATGAAACAGTAAGTAGAAGAAAATGTATTTCTGGAGTACTAGAAAGAATGAACCATGAAGTTCATTTTGACCATTCAAGGGTTTTATTTAGTATAGTTGCAAAACTGGTTTTAAAAAATCATTTATAACTGAATTTTATTCAATAGACGAGGAGATGAAACATGAAACAATTAGCAGAAGAAGATGTATTAGTTGAGTAGTAGACAGAATGAACCATGAAGTTCATTATGATTGCTGCAGTTGTTTATCTGTTTGTTTACCCATCTTTTTTTCATATCTCATAGACAGTTATGGATCATCAGCTTAGATGGTCTCCTGCCTACTCTATAAAGAGGTTCGGGTTGGTGGAGGAGAGCGATGGTGCTTTTCCAACGGACTCCGGTCACGTTATTAATTACATTAACCAGATGCTACTAGGGGAGGATGTTGACGAGAATAATGTTTCCTTGTTCTGTGATCCTACTTCGCTAAGAGCTGCTGAGAATTACTTCCATGAAGCCTTGGGTGAGAACCCTTCCTTTGACAGCAATGTCGGACGCCCAGAAGACATTTTAGCTGTGACCTCCTCTTCTAATGTCGAATCATCTGTCACAGACGATTCTGTATATAGCTTTGGCAGTGCTAATTCGGTTCCAAGCATATTTTTTGATGATGAAATTGCGTCCATTTTGAAATCGCCAAGAGGTGTGGAGGAAGCTAGAAGATTCATTCCTGCCATCAACCCGATGGTCATCAATTTCGACGATCAATACTCATCGCATCCAGAGACCGAGGATTTGACCAGTGGTAGTACCATGAGTAGAGTAGGGAAGCATTACCGTCCAGGTGAAAGCGGGCTAGATAAAGAAGTAGAAGAGGATGAAAGGAGGAGGAAGCAGAGTGCAGCGTATAAGGAGGAGGTAGAGCTATCAGAGGTGTTTGACAAGGTTTTGCTGCTTTGTGCTGATGAGAATGACGATTCTCCATATGGAACTAGGAAACAACAACAGAAAGGGCGAAAAGGTGGCAAAAGGCATTCAAATAAAAAAGGCTGTGAAGTTATTAATGTTGATCTCCAAGTTCTTTTGATCAACTGCGCGAAATCTATTGCTGCTGCAGATTATGGGGCAGCAGTAGAACAATTAAAGAAGATCAGGCAATATTCTTCGCCTGTCGGTAACGAAAATCAAAGGGTGGCACATACATTTGCTAATGCTCTTGAGGCACGGCTGGCTGGAACCACGGCCCAAGTTTATCCTTCTTCATCGTATCGCAACACGATCGTCGTCTCCGAATTGCTAAAATCCCACTTGTCATCATCTATGCCATTTTTGAGGATATATATCTTCTTTGCCAATGAAATGATTTACGAAGCAGCATCAAAAGGCACGTCACTCCACGTCATCGATTTCGGCATCCTTCATGGTATCCAGTGGCCCACTCTTATTCGGGATCTTTCGCGTAGACCCGGTGGCCCTCCAAAACTTCGAATCACAGGGATTGAGCTTCCCCAACCTGGTTTTCGTCCATCACAGATGGTAGTAGAGACTGGCTGCCGCTTGGCTAAATACTGTGAGCGTTTCGGTGTACCATTCGAATACAATGCCCTCACAGCAAAGAATTGGGAGGCAATTAAGGTTGATGACTTGAAACTCGTGATGGGTGAGGTGGTTGCTGTAAACTGTATCGATCGACTCAAACGACTACTAGACGAGACAGTATGTGGTCCGGACTGCCCCCGGGATGCGGTTTTGAACTTAATCCGGGAAGTAAATCCTCATATTTTTGTACATGCTTCGCTTAGTGCATCTCACAACTCTCCTTTCTTTGTCAATCGGTTCAAATCAGCTCTCATATACTACTCTGCTCTCTTTGATATCTTTGAAGCCGTTTTCCCACGCCACGATAGTAAAAGGATGCATTTTGAGCAAGAGTTTTTTGGGCTCGAAATAGCAAATATTGTTGCATGTGAGGGCATGGAAAGGTTAGAGAGGCCTGAAACATACAAGCAGTGGCAATCCCGCACTTTGAGAGCTGGGTTCAAGCCTGTGCCCGTGAACCCTGAAATCGTGAAGAAGTTAAGAGAAAAGATGAGTGAAGCATATCACAAAGACTTCATGCTTGCTGAAGATGGCCACTGGATACTGCAGGGATGGAAAGGTCGGATACTTTCTGGCAGCGCTGCATGGGTAACTCACAAGCGCTAATTTGTTGATTTTTTCATAGATTGTGAGATCGTCTTTGTGATATTTCATAGTGTAATATATTGAATTTTAAATTTGTTTATAAGATATTACGTAATATGTAATCCCTAATAATTTCTACTTCAACATGAATAGTGTTTTTAACATTGGTTATTTAGTAAAGTTGTATGAAAAGAATATGTATGTCTTTTTGTGCGTAAATATATACGTAGTTCTACGTAGAGTACTTCGTATGAAGCTATATGTAGTTAAATTAACCAAGTCTTACTTTATACGTAGTATACACAAATAATTAAGAATAGATTACCTAAGAATTACTTCTAGTTCTAATCATTACCATTGCTTTTATACACTTTAGATATTCGTTTTTAAAATTGATCGTGTGTAGCTTTAATATATTTAGATTTATATAATCAACATTTATAGGATGAGGAGGAAAAACTTTATTCCAAGTGATGGAACAAATTGTCCCGATCGAGTAAATAAAGAATTAGAGTGGACATAGTATTTTGTTGTAGAAACCAAATCGGTGAAATCACGGGCCTTTTTGGCGGTACCATGCCAATAGGCCGGGAGCTTTTATTATATTTGTGTGGGGGAGGTTACATACTTACATGTACAAAAGATATATGAAGCTTCTAGGGAAGCCATTAATGAAGAATTAAGCTAGGAAGAAGAAATATACATGTGCATTATTGTATGTAAAGTTAAGCCCCCACGAAAATCGGCTGATTTGGCTGATTCTTCTGAGATTTATGAAGTTCTGGCTGAAGTGACTGCATTGGTTGATTCTGCTAATTTAGGAAATTAATATTTTTAAAATATATTTTATTAATAAAATAAAGAAAAAATTATATGTAAAAATGGCTAAAATGATCATCTACAGTAACTCCAGCCAATACAGCAAGAAAAGTAACTTAAACCTTACTTTTTCTGCTTATTACACAATTCAGCGCGCGAAAAACAAAAATTACGTGTTTGGTGAAAAAGTTGGTTGATGAGCCTGATAAGCCGAAAAACAGTGTTGTCAAACGGCCTCTAAAAATTGTCATATACTCCCTCCGTCCCGCAAAGAAGTTTCCGATTTGACTTACACACATATTAAGGAAATAAACTTACCAGGGGGTAAATTTTAGTGTTTTGACACTGTTTTGCACTATTTGACACTGTTTTGATGTAGATAACTTGCCATTTAAGGACATGAGATTTTTTTTTTTGGGAGATCCAAATAAGGAAAGTTGAAACTTCTTTGCGGACGGGAGTGATTATTCGAAAACCGAATGGTGAACCTATGTAAATCCAAAAATGATACAACTGAACTTTCGTGGGGAATGATGCATGTGATCCAAAAAATGATGCACGTGAATTAAAGAACGATGCACAAACAACTGAGAATTTATGAAATTAAAATAATTTGAGTAATATTAATTAGTTGTATTAATTTGAGTCTATTAAAAAGACTAATGAGCCATTTCACCAAACGTTGCCCATGATTATTTTAATTACATGTTTGTATGGTTAGTTATGATGCGACTAAATATCACCCGGTCCTTTAATAATAGAGTGCCTAGATGAGAAAATTCTAAAAAGGAAAAAGAGTCAAATAAATAAGTCATTCTATTATTTTCAAACCGTCACTTAAGCATTTTGCACTAAAAAGTAGGGAAAAATAAATAAAATATCACAAACTTTGAAGGAGTGTGAGACAAACTTTCATATGTAATTTAAATACCCCAAACTTTATATAAAAAGTTATTTTAGCACCATGGTCATATATAATTTTTTTCAAAAATAGAAATTTAAGGTGTTAGTTGCATAATTTAAAATAACAAATTAAAAATGTTGCAATTATATAGAGTGGGAGTAGTATTAATTATTTTACAACGGAAGTTTAGAATGTTAATTGTATTTTCACGAATGCTAAAATATTTTAAATTATGAAATTAACACAAAAAATTAACATTTTTGAAAGAAATATTACATGACCATGGTGCTAAAATAATTTTTTATAAAAAGTTTGGGGTATTTAAATTACATATGCAAGTTTGGGGTGTTTACCTCACACCCTCTCAAAGTTTGGGGTATTTTAATTATTTTTCCCTAAAAAGTATGAGTATCATTTAAATGGGACTAAAAATGTTTGAAAATTCCAAAATAGGACTGTCATGTTTTTATTCCCAAAATAGGACTAATTACTGTCATGTTTTGGCAGTACCAGACTTCAAACATGGCAGTATTTTCCAAACTTAGCAGTAATTACTCCTATTTTGGGAATAAAAAACATGTCAGTCCTATTTTGGAATTTTCAAACTGTTTTAGTCCTATTTCGGGAACTTTCCCCATTTAAGTATGCCTACTTTACAAAATTGATCAATTATACCATTTAATCAGTTTTAACTGGTAATAGCGGGTTTTAAATATTTAAAAACTCTAAACAAATGTTAAAGTTTGAAGAATTATATAGAAAACATGTGAAAATTTTCAGAATATCAAAGTCAATTTTTTTAAATTTTTAAAAATACTTGTATATTCTACATCTATTTAAAAGGTTTTCAATTTTTCATTTTTCATTTTTTTATTTTCAGTTTATTTTTTCAGTTTTTGGATTTTTATTTTACTTTTTATTTTATTTTTTGTAAAATTTTATCTTTTTTACATTTATAGTATTTTTATATTATTATTAGATTATTTATTCAAATTTATTTGAATTTGAATAAGATCTATTAGTTTTCCTAACTTAATTGTAATAAAAATAACCTACTATAGCAGGTCAAATGACTTGATTGATTGTATTTTAAAAGTAAACGTACATATATGATACTTGTTTTAGTACAAGGGCTTAAGTGATGTCTGTAAAAAGTAGAAGGACTTATTTGACTTTTTTCTTATAAAAATATGAGGCTTTTGAGTCAGGTATGCAAAAACACGAGAGTTTTTTTCGGGTACAAAAAACGAAATTCGAAGAAGTACATTTCGAATGAAAAATAAAATTAAAAAAAGTTTGGAATGAGAAATTCCAAATGGGTGAGAAGGAAAGGGCAGAGTAAGGAAATTTAGGGAGGCCATGCATAATATAAATCCCAATTTTCCTTAAATCTTTTTTTTTACTTTTACCTCAAATTTTAAAAAAATTATATCGAAATTCAAAACCTTTTATGATCATTCATATGACACTAATATAACATATAGAATTTTTTTAAAATACTACGATTTTTCAATTGCATGAGGTTTTTCTTAATTATATCCAAATGCTACAATTAAGACCAAATTGTTAAACTGATTGAAACATGTAAAACAAATTAACAAAGAGATCTTAATTTTAGCACATGAATGTATATAGGACAAAATTTGAATCCTAAAACCTCATTTAGTTTAATTAAACCTCAATTTTTTTTAAAACATTATACATGTAATACAATTTTTTGTATCACCCTCCAACAATGATTCGTTATATATTCTCTTTTCTTATTTACCAATCTTGCAAAAATAAAGGAGATTATTACTCAATATTGTTTTATTTTTAAAGAATCATAATCCGTCAGTTATTGCTCGTGTTGAAACATAATTCTCATTTACTAAATTTTGTAAATGTCATCCCCAGTTATATGAAGTTTGAAAATTGTGGTTCCCATTGTTAATTTTGAACTAACATATTTAGTTTTTCTATAATTTTGAAGTTTAGACATAGTAAAAAAAGTTATTCACTTTAAAATATTTCCAATTCCTTTGCTATAAATTTTTTGTTTGTAAAGTTAAGCCATAGAAAAAAACATCGACCATAAAAACAAAATTATATACGGAGTAGACAATAATAATGTGATGAGGATAAAAATGCTTTAAAGTTTAGACTACATAAAAAACTATTTTTATTCACATTTTCAAAACCTTTTGTACTAACAATTTATGTGTGTAAAGTTAGTCTAATTTTTATCACAAATATTCAATTACCACCATTTTTTGCCACTCGCAAAAAACGTTCTATATTCGGTAATAAAATTCTAAATTTCTTGTGCCACACATTTAATATTTGTAAAAGCGAATTATTTTGAACATCGTTTCATGACTTGATTTACAAATAAAAGAATTGGCGATAGAATGAATTTTAAAATAAAATATACAAAAAAAATTCTACACTTTTGAACATGTTTTGAAAATCATTAGCACCTAAACTTTTATCTCCAAGGAGGTCCTAAACATAATTCTTAGTTGTAAAAATCTTTAGCACCAACAATTTTTTCCTATGAAATGTTAAGGCCACAAGCAAAAAATGGCAGTTGAAAAAGTTCAAGTTCATAGTAAATAAACATCGGTTGGAAATTCTAAATCAAAGACAATAAATGTCTAGAAGAGACAAAAATGAGAAAAGACCACAAATTTTTGTTTTTCAATTTTTCAAAATTTCTGGCATCAAAGAAATATATGGATAAGACAACTATTAATAATGTCGATAAAAAGAATTTAATTTTATGAACAATAAATGTCTGGTACAAAAAACTATTTCATGCAGGGTAGAAATTGTATTTTATTAATTAAAATTTAAAAAACAAATGTACTGATAATTTTAGAGCACGTTTGTACTTAGTCAAAACGTTTTTTTTTGTCAAACAATTATTGTCAGTAAAATTGGACTTCTCTGATAGATATAATTTTCTCTAGCATAATTTTGCAGACAAAATTTTCGGTACAAAGTTTTTTAAAATGCAAACAAATAGTGTATCATTTTTATCTAGTCTGAAGTATTTTTGTATGTGCGAGACGATTATTGTCTATAGAATATATTTTTTGACAATAACATTCTTTGTCTGTGGCCTAAGTGAAGAGACAAAATTTAGGTGCAAATAATTTTGAAATTATTTACAGAAGTGTATAATTTCTAATGAACATAACTATGTCAAAGTTACAAAATTAAAAATTATCAGTTTTCAAAATTTTCAGCAAAAATCACATTTATAAAATTCAAATAACCGATATGATGATGATATTTACAAGATTAAATAAATGAGAATTATATATCAATATGAACAATAACTTGAGGACTAAAAGTGTGATTCTCCAAATCTAAAAGAATATTCAATAACAATCACTTTTATTTTTCAAAGATTGAGAAAGAATAAAGGAGAAAGGAAAAAGAAAAAATAGTGGAATGGCTAAAAAGGGGCAACAAGAAAAAGGAAAACAATGAAAGAGAAAAATGAAGGCATT